GTATGAAGCAAAATATAGCACAGGTAAAAAAGAACAGGGAACTTCGTCGTCAACTACCAGTTCGGGGCCTAAAGGATTGTCGTGGAGTTTCTTGAAGAAGAAAGAGAAATTGGTAGGATCGTCCTCAACACAAGCGTCTACAGAACTAGTCAAATATTTTGAAGCAAATTTTGTAATCGATGACGACAAACTAGACATCTTACAGTGGTGGAAGAGCAAGACATATCGTTTTCCAACACTATCCATAATAGCTCGTGACATTCTGACAACTTCAGTGTCAACGGTAGCATCGGACCAAGCTTTTAGCGCAAGCAACTGAATTCTTGACGAGAAGAGAAGCAGAATGCATCCAGATATCTTGGAGGGACTAATGTGCGTTAAAGACTAGGAAAATGCCAGAAGACGAAAACAACAATACACAGATGATTCGATGCAAGAATATTTTTCTAACTTAGAAATAACAGAATCTTCTGGAAGCACTTAGGTTTGTAATTTACTATTCCTAGCTACTGCACTCTTTTTTCCTTCGCTAAGGTTTTGTCCCGATCTCTCCACGGGTTTTACTTAGCAAGGTTTTTAACGAGGCAGTCATTTATGTGTACTCCTATTACGTCAATTCAATAAAATCACATCTTTTGGGACACTTGATATTTTTTTTAATTAAATTAAAAAAAATACAAGGGCCTGGGCCCAGGCCCGGCCTTGGCCCTTATGGACTAGGGCCAGGGCCTGGACCGGGCCTGAGTTTTTCTTCTCAGGCCCGGCCCAGGCACGGCCTTGCACTGTGCAGGGCCGTGCCTGGCAAGGCCCAAGTTCGTGATGGGCCTAGGGTCAAGCGTGCCGTGCCGGCCCGGCACGGCACGTTTGACAACACTACTCAACCTGCTTCTCAAATTCTACTGTTTAACAATAGTTTTTAAAAATTGTTAAATAAGAACAAGAATTACCAAACACCCTAATCTACTGTAATTTCTTTAAAAAAGTTAAAAGCAGCTTTTAAAAGCAATGTTGAACGGGCCCTAAATAAGACAACTTTTTAGTTGCCCTAGTGCGGATCTTTTCCTAATAAATACACTAGAAATATGTTATGTAATAACTGATGCAGGCAGCTCCTACTGTTAGATTGAAATTTAAAAGATTTATGTCGATGAGATATTTGTTAGGAGTGTTGGGTGACATCTTTGATAAATACACTTTTAGGTTTATTTAATTTAAAAGCTCTTATGGTTATAGTCATCCTTTTGTTCTTTTGGCCGAAAGTCTCCTTTTGGCGTCTCCACTATAGGTAGTATGCAATTTAGATTAGCGTAGGTTATTTATTTTATTATTTTATTTTAGTTTATTACTATTTTCAAGTTCAAATGGGATTAGAACGTGAGTTTAGATAGGATTAGAATTTTAGGATTTTTCTTATTTGTATTCAGTTTTGCATTGCTAATAAAAGAAAAATCAGAGAACCTTCTCTTCACTTTTACTTATTCTTCGGTATTCATTCGAATCAACAATTTACTTAGTCACTTGATTTTCAGTATTTTTAGTGAATTACAAATTTATCATACGCTTGTGCTACATCAATAACACAAATTCTTTGCATTTAAAACTCACCTTTGATCCCAAGTAAGACATCACATTGCAACCAAATTTGTATGCGAAATGAGCCTCCATACATTGTTTCTTACGTTCAAGGATCACCTTAATTCTCCTCACATGGTACAGAGGATCAACACCACCTTTTTTATATTGAATGGGCAGGAGAATACCGCCAAATTTATTGCCCCAATGCAATTTTGGATTGTTTCTCGCCAAATCGGATGGTTCCTGATCATTAGATTAACCATCAATTACCATACAAATCACAAAAGAAGATTATTAATTAAGAGAATAGATAGATCATTGACAAAGTAAAGAGCGAATCAGTACAGAAAAGACACAAATAATTAAGAAAGGCGATGAACCATATGTACCTGCAGTCCTGGTTGTTTTCTTAAGTTTACAATGGTTAGCCCAGTAATTTGAAGTCCCTCTTGCAAAGCTAAATAATAAAAACAAAAACAAAAACAAAAAAATCCACTATAATTTAGCTTGGTGAATTAATTCTGTCCCTTTTGACCATCAGCTAATTTCAATTTAGACACCGTTTATTTCACCGATTCGAGTTTTCAGTTCTAAGATTTTACAGTTAAAATTTCTCAGAAAATGTCACATTTAATTTTTTTATTACAGTTAAAAACTCTAAAAAAATGTCACATCTCAACTCGAATTAAAAACTCGAATCTGTGAAACGAACGAAGTTTTAATATTTTGTCCAATCGAGAAATATATATATATATATATATATATGAGTAGAATTCTACTCAATGGTAATTTGAAAGTGAAGTAATTAATAATTATGCAAGTGCACTGATTTTCAGAGGAGTAATATGCTCCACTAATCTGATCTACAAAAATTTACCCTTTGGTGTTCGATGATCCAGATATTTTGATATGCCAGATGATATCACCCCAGAAAGAACATCATTAATGGTCTGCATGATGCCATAACAATTTGTCGAACCGTCATACTCGATGAATAAAAATATATTGAGACATTTTACAGGAAGAAAGAAAAAGAAAAAGAAAAATATGTTACACATCGCTTAGACAAAAGTCATTGTTGGGGACTTGATACATATATTTCTAGCTAAAAAAAGGAATAGTTATAAAAATATTCTTAGTGTTTAGTGAAATGGGACTTTTGATTTTGTGTTATAAATATCCCACTTTTGTAAACATAAAAAATTCTCTCATGCTTTCAAAATTAGTCAAATTTAAAATTTTAAAAAAAATCTCATAGATAACTCGATACAAAAAACTTAAATATAAAGAAAAACCAAAATGTTAAAAACATAACAAACTCCAAATCTAAACCCAACCATGTTAACGACAACAAAAACAAAAATCCTAAAAATAATCCGATTTTGGTTGTCATGATGGCGGCAGTCAATGAGACAGTGGGAGTTTAGCACAGCGTTGACGGCGATGAGGTTGTGGGAGTTAGGACTGAGGAAGAGAGAGGCAATTAAGAGAGGGGACTTTGAGAGAGAAAAAAAAAAACTGCACCACTTTAGTTTTTTTTTTTTTTTTTTTTTTTTTTGTAATTTATTATACTATTTTTAAAAAAATTCTTGGCGCTAATTTTGAATAATTCTTGTAGTGTTATTGTCAACGAGTACTTAATTGAAGGGGGCGATTTTTTATTTTTTATTTTTATGTTGCTTATAAAAACAAAAGGATGATTAAGTGGAAAACCGCAATTCTGATAAAAAAATAAAAATAAAAAAAACCGAAATAGTGCAACCATAATCTTTTAACACAAAACAAAAACAGCAAAACACGCACCGCACGCGCGCGCACACACACACACACTTACCGCGTCACCGACAGCTCTCTTGACGATCCTCATGTCCTCTAAACAAAACCTAGCAGTGGCGATCTTCCTCGGCCAGAGCTCAACCCCATCGCCGCCCGATATCGCCGTCTTACGATCACGAACCCAAAACAGCCTCATTACGATCTTCAACGCAAACATCAGACTATCCCACAAAACACCAACCTTCCTCAAGGGCGCCGCAGCCATGGCTGTCACAGTCCTGTTCCTCTGATCATCAGTACTTCTCCTCAGTGGAGCTATCGTCGGAGCGGCCTTCAGGTCGCTAGCTTTCCGGAAAACGGACAGCAATAATGACATTAATGAAGTCCCATCTGCCAAAGCGTGATGGACTTGAAAAACGACGCATCTGTAAGGATATAAAATCAGTAATGATTTTTATTCATGAGAGAAAAAAAAAACCGCTCTATGTGTACAAAGTACAGACTACATTAGAGAACTCTAGAAACAAATTGAATTTACACTTTATTATAAGTCATAAAAGTATACGGTGGTATTTATTAGGAAAATTTTATGACATGACATTTTTTTTTTTTTAATAATGTGGCCTGCCGTAAGCATTTTGAAACCAGCTTATTTATACATAATAATACATTCTATCTATTTATTGATTAGTACTGATGGTAACGACTAATAATAACTCGCGTATAAGGTACCAAACTAGGGTTTTAGAATCGGAATTATGATTCTGGTTTAAATTTGTAAAAAGTAAAAGAAGTAATTCTTGAAAATCAGTATTTGATTTGGATAGTTTTGATTCAAAGTTTGAATCTTGATGTGATGTTTAAAACCAGAACTATCCAAAAAAATAAAACCACCTTCCCCTGTAATTTTGGATGGTTTAAACCTCTGATTCTAATTCCGGTTCCAGAACAATAATTTAGACCCCAAGTTTAAACCTTAAATCATGGTTCTAGTTCTAAAATTAAAACCACCCTGACTTGAATCTTCATACCAAACGCAAGTCGTGACAATGATTTATAAAATACTGTATTATTCATGTTATACAAAAAAATTAATTAATCCTAAGAAAGTTTTATTAACAATTATACACTATTGTGATATATTTCTTATTGAATTAGTTGGATAGAAGAGAATGCATAGGCTAGATATAAACTAATAAAAAGAAGAAGAAAAAAAATTGTCTTAAGAAAAGGAAAAAAAAAAAAAAAAAAAAAAAGGAAAAAAAAAAAAAAAAAAAAAAAGCTACAAGCAGCAAACTATATCCGTTTCTTTCACCTGTGAGCCATCAGGAAGTGGATCTCCCACAGCGGCTTATCGGTGCTAAGCTCCGGGCCGGTCGACAAGTCGGCAAGGTACTCGTTGACAGCAGATTCATCATCATTAGCAGCGGAGGAAGAGACCGGAGACGCGATGACGATGAGGTGGCGGTCGAGGTTGACGGAGGTTTTACGCCAATGCTCGACGCCGTGGCGATCATGGACCAGGATGCTGCAGAATCTGGGGTGTTTGAGGAGGACTGAGGCTTGAATCGCGGACTTAACGGCCTCCACGTCGAGAGGTTTCTCGAAGCCAACGGCGCAATGGATTATATGCTTCAATTTCGGACGGACGCAGAGCCTTCCCGTTGGGGTTAGGGGCTCGTCGGAGTTGGTCGCCAGAGAGGCCATGTGTAAAAGAGTAGAGACGTGAGGAATAAATAGTGTGTGCTATTTAATAGAGCTTTGAGCAATATATGCTATATAGGAACTACATATAATGTCCTTCGAAAGAGAAATTAGGAACTATAATGATAATAGGTGTAAGTAGTTAGTCTTTTCTTTAAAAATTAGTGTTTGGTATGAAGTAATCTTTAGATGGGAACGAGAATCTGAGAAGATTCTCGTGTTTGGCACAAGAATTGCAATTTACATTTATGAGAAAGTGTGATCATGGAGGAGTTGGGCGGCCTGGTTTAATGCAGAGTGAAGAAATGAAATTTAGTCCCCCTATTTGGTTCACTACTATTTTCAATTTTCAGTACTTTTAGTGGTGGACCAAGTTCAAATTCGTGTTTAATAAGCATCTAGTTTAGATTTTATTTTCCGTTTAAAATGAGTAAGAATTGTCCAACTTAGAGTTTATGTCCCATCTATTTCAACTTTTAAACAAATTTTTATGCCTAGAAATATTCTCAATCTCTTTGCTCTCTGCAACTTTTCAAATAAAAATTAGAAAATTTTATTTTCTGTTTAAATTTACACTTAATTGTACATCCAAACACCAATTCTGATTATAATTTAAACCTCATGATTCAAAATTTTCAATTTAAACAGAATAAGCGTTTAATAAATCAACACAATTCAAAATATCAATCAAATGGAATAGTATTTTTCTCTCTATATATACATATATATAAAAATTTGATACGGACCTAAACAATCCAATATTTTTACTAAAAAAATAATACAATCCCCGTGTTGTGCATGATACTTTTGTTTGTTACGTTACCCAAATATTCACTAACAGTGTAATGAACATGGGTTTTTAGGGGGAAAGGGAATTTAATGAGGTGCTCAAATTCTTTTTTGTTCTTTTCCAAGGAAAGGGTATTTAAAGGGTCTTTTTCAAATTTTTCAATTTAAACAAAATAAACATTTAATAAATCAACACAATTAGAAATATCGAATCAAATGGAATAATATTTTTCTCTAAATATATACATATATAAAGTAAAATTTGATACGGACCTAAACAATCCAATATTTTTACTCGAAAAATAAAACAATCCCATGTTGTGCGTGATACTTTTGTATGTTACGTTACCCAAATATTCAGGTTAACGGTGTAATGGACGTGGGTTTTTAGGGGGAAAGGGTATTTAATGAAGCGCTCAAATTCTTTTTTGTTCTTTTTCAAGGAAAGGGTATTTAATGAGGTAATTAGAATGCAACTACCTGCCCTTTTCGTTTCTGCATATAACTACCAATTTTTTGGGAATTCAACAATGAAAGCCGCGACCCCACGAAGTCTAAAGGTCGCCAAGAAAATAAATAAGTGGTCCATTTTTACTTCCTGTGATTCTCTAAATGTCCCTGAAAATAAGTGGTCTATAAACAACGATTGAGTACGATAAATAAATGACGATTTTTAGGGACTTTTAAAAAAAAAAAAAAAAAAAAAAAAACAGCCTACCAGTAGAATCAATACAATTTGCTCTGGTTAAAATCATATCAAATTAAAAAAATATGTAGAATAAACAGTTTTAATACAGATCTTACAATTGAAAAGTAGATAACTATTGATTGTTCATTTTTTCTAATCCTATTAAAAAACTCTCCAATTTTTATAGTAGGGCAGACTTTTTTGCTCTACATGTAAATAATGTTATTTTAACTGTTAAATTAACATTTTAACAGTTAGATATGTGAGTATTCATGTTAAAAATTTAAGACATCGCACGACACAAAACTATTTTCAATCACAAATTTAATCGTTGAAAAGTTAATCTCACAGTAAAACAGTATTACCTACCGATAGGCTAAAAAAGCTGGTTCTGCCATAGATATTGCCTAAATATATAATACTCTCGACGGCTTATAGTTTTTTCACTATCTTTTTGTACACTTTTTTAAAATTCCTTGAGGCTAGATCTAAGCGTATCGTTAATATAATGTCAAATTAGTATGGTAATATTAACATTTAAGTACCAAAAATATTGTTAATTTTGGTACTGTATTTGGCTTATGCTATACTTAGTGGATTTGATACACGTGTAACATATATATACTAAATTTTGGCATTTGATTGATGTCAAAACTTTTCATTTATTACACTATCGACCTTTTAAATTTATTTTAAAATAATTTTTATAACAACTCTTAAAACTTATTATTATGACAAAAAAAAAATATAACATTAGAAATAACATTATACATTGCAACACAAAATATAGTAGCACATCAAAGTTCTATTTTCACATTTTTTAATGTCAAACATAGAATTAGCATTTAGAGCATCTCAAATGCAATGTTAAATTAGTGTGACGGTGTCAAATTTTTGTAGTTGAGTAAGAAAATCACTTTCGAGTACAATGTCATTCTTGATGTTAAATTTAGCATATATTATGACAATGTCATTCTTGATGTAAAATTTAACATATATTATGACAATGTCATTCTTGATGTTAAATTTAGCATATATTATGATTGGTGGTAAATTATTTGGCACCGAATAGCATATGCGAAAATTTTGACATTTGATTGTCATTAGTTGATATATATAGTTACTTCTTTTAAATCATCATTATTGACATTTTCAAATCATTTTAAAACTAAAGTTTTATTTTATACAACGTTTAAAGCTTAAAGAATATTATGACAAAAGTTTACTTTATACAACATTTAAAGCATAAAGAATATTATGACAAAAACAAAATGTAGCATTTAAAGTAAGTAGTATTATACAAGAGAGAACAAATCAAAATAGCATGCCAAACATGCTATTGGTGTCATATTTATAACATTGACGTTAATGTGTGCATATTCGATCGGGTTAGTATTTACATCTGAGATGGTGATCTAATCCATCTTTTTTTAATATTATTATTTTCTGGAAGGAACTTCGTTACGCAAAGAAAACGAATGGAACAATTAAGCAAGGAAGGAATAATTAATTAATTTAGGATCCCATTCCACATATATGGTCCCGAGCTACAGAAACCGGAAAAAGAAATATCCTTAAACGTCCTTGGCAAATTAAATTATGAGCTACAATAGTAGAACATCACAGATGGAAACTGGTCAACAATTACACACACACAATATATATATATATATATACATACATATATATATATATAGCAGATTAATTAAGCATGCAGGAATGGCAGTGCGAGAAAAGGCAGTCTCTGGTGGTCCTGCAGTGGCGATCTGCAGCTGGATTTTTAAGAGCATTAATAATGAACAAGATCACGTGGTGTTGCCACCTTGCTTTCTTTGAAAATGAGATGGCGGTGTCGTCTTATATATCTATAGGAGAGGTGAATTCTTAACTTTTTTTTTTTTTAAATATATACGGCTTCAAAGTGGTCTTTTATTCCACTATATAGATATAGATATGATTACACGGAAGGTGGTCTTTTGTAAGTTTTCTGTGGATGAGGGGAGCTAATATCATGTACCGCTTGTTAAAATTCAGGGGCCAAAATGATAAAAAGTACAAAGTTCAGGATGAAGTTTCAATATAAATCTAACTAATTTAATCTTCTTTTACCTAAGCTTTAGCTTTTCTTTCAAATTCACCTCTACCAGTTTAAGTAATTTTTTTTTTCTCTCTAAGTATATTTTTTCTTGGATGAGTTAATCTTTAACTAATTTTTAACATAAAAAATGTTAATATTATGGCAATTCAATCGAGTACGATGATCACTTTCATGAATTTATTGATTTTGCAGAGAAAGAATATTGAAATAGAACTACGCAAACTAAATTGTAGCAGAACAATTGAGATGAAAAACAAGTTAGAATCATTTTCTAAGACCATGTTGAAAACGGGTTAATTTGCTGTTATAATTATAGCATTATACATTGAAGTAGAAAACAAAACAATGACAACTAATATAACACTTTCGCCCAATTGCGGTAATTTGATATGTTACTTTTGCTAGCAATGTGGAAGAGCAAATCCAATTGTTTCATTTTGATGTGAATGTGATCAAACTATTTGGTTCTTTTTTCTTGAAAAAGCAAAAAGTCCTAACTGGATTCAACAATGGTGGCTAAGGCTGCTTCTTTCATTTCAACCAAGGCATCTTCAAAGCACTGAGCAAGAAATTCAGGGTCCGGAATTATATCTTTGGCCACCAAGATTTGCATGTCTGCCCTTTCAGCATAGCTCAACATGTGGACTATCAATGCCTGCATTTCCAACTCACAAATACAATTATTATATATCATTATTTATAAATTTCATTATTGTGATAAATATCCATCAAATTATTATTTTTTTGGACATATATATAAATATGTAGGAATTAACAGTGAAGTTATAAGAGGCATGTACATGAGGCAAACTTGATATATTTACTCTGATGTAAGTCACAGGGTTGTCTCCAATTGCAACGTGTTCTTGTGGGCCAACCATATTGGAGATGGTAAGACTAGTGTTGGAAAGAACCCTGTAAGTAACGAGACCAGCAACCTACAACACAAAGACGAAAGAAGTAATAGAAAGAGACTTAAAAGCTGGTTGAATTAGATATCAACTTTTCTAATTAATCTTTTTTTTTTGTTTTTTTTGTTTGTTTTCCTCCTCCTTAGAGAGCTTTTATGTTGGAGACTAATTTGCATCAGTATCGCGTGTCTTTGAATGTTGCATCAAATCGAAAATATTGAAACAAAAAAAATGGAATTTGATGATTGGTCCTAAACTATAAATACCAATAAAGGATTTTTCTTTTTTTGTTACCAATGGCAGCATTAAGCCAATTTCTTCCTCTTTTAATACTCACCTTTGCTCCCAAATAAGTCATTATATTGTTCCTGGCTTTGTATGCGAAATTAGCCTCCATACATTTTTTCTTGCGTTCAAGGGTCACCTTAACTCTCCTGACGTGTTCTAGAGGATTAGGACCACATCTTTTATACTGAATGGGCAAGAGAATAGTGCCAAATTTGTTGCCCCAATTCAATAGTGATTTGCTTCTCGTCAAGTCGGATGGTTCCTGATCATATACAAGAACAATCAATTTCCATAATTCAATTTTTTTTAGACCTTGGATGATGAAAGAAAAGAAAGAATCATAACTACCGAATTTTTTCGGCTAGAAGTCTAACTTTTATTTTAAGAGCAAACATGGTTTTTTGTTTTTTTGTTTTTCATCTTCTAATGACTAATATTTGGACTCCATAATACATCTCATTTCATTATTGTCACATTAAGATAAATAGATCCTTGAGAAAGCAAAGAGAGGAATATAATTAGCATAGAAAAAGGATGGAGGAGGGTGGAACATATGTACCTGCAGTCCTGGTTGTTTTCTTAAATTTACCATGGCTACCCCCGTAATTTGGTGTCCCTCTTGCAAAGCTAACAAAAAGAAACGCAACATTAATTTATCTTCGTGAATTAATTTTGCCTCTTACTAATTTTGTTTAGCATTTTTCCAAATTACGCATAATTGGCATATATAGCATATATGAGTACTAGAAATATTAGACTTTATTATGAAAGTGCAAGGAATTTTGCTAGTTTTACTAGTCTTTAGGGAAGAACAAAATACTTCATATAGGGATCCGTTTAGTTCGCTGATTCGAGTTTTTAATTCGAGTTGAGATGCGACTTTATGTGAGAGCTTTTTACTGTAACAAAAAAGTTAGATGTGATTGTTTCTAAGAGCTTTTTACTATAGCAAAACTTGAATTCTAAACTCGAATCGGTGAAATGAACGGGACCTTAGAAAATGTTTACCTTTTGGTGTTCGGTGATCCAGATATCTTGATAGCCCGGATGATATCACCCCGGAAAAAACATCATTGATAGTCTGCATAATGCCATAATTATAGATTTCGTTAAGTCTCACAAATATAAAACTATATATATATAATTAATAAAATTCCATTCAATAAAAAGAAAAGAAAAAAAAATCATAATTGACTTATATATTCACACTACTGATGAGAGAAAAGTGTGAGTGAGCACCCATGAGAAATAGCTAGCAAGGAAAAAGTCATGAAATAATAATATATATTTCCACCTAAAAATTGTTCCTGCTTTTCTTTTTCAGATCTAATTTAAAACTACAGTATTATTAAAAAAGGGAAATTGTAACATATTAATTCCCGAAGTTCTTAGTGGACCCATTCAAAATAAATAATAATAAAAAAACCGAAATAGTGGGATCATAATCTTTTAACACAAAACAAAAAACAGCAAAACACGAACCGCATGCACACACACACTTACCGCATCACCAACAGCTCTCTTGACGATCCTCATGTCCTCTAAACAAAACCTAGCAGTGGCGATCTTCCTCGGCCAGAGCTCAACCCCATCGCCGCCCGATATCGCCGTCTTACGATCACTAACCCACAACACCCTCATCCCTAACATCAAACCATACCACAAAACAACAACCTTCCGCACAATCCCTTCCCATATCGTTGTTGCCGCCATACTCCTCTTCTTCCTCAACGGCGCTATCGTTGGAGGGGCATTCAGGTCGCTGGCCTTCCGGAAAACGGACAACAATAACGACATGAATGAAGTCCCGTCTGTGAGAGCGTGATGGACTTGGAAGATTATGCATCTGCGATGCCGAATCGATAAAATTAATGATAATTTTTGGTCTTATCTATATATATCATTGAATAAGAGTGAAAAAAATACTCATTTGTATAAATGTGAAAAAATTAAAGTCCGACAATTCAAATCCTTCAGGACGTAGAATTGATCATGCATGACACAAACTCAATCCTTTCGTTTAATCTTTAGCGAGAAAAAAAAAAAAAAAAGAAAAGAAAATCCGTTTGGTTCAACTCTTACCTGTGAGCCATTAGGAAGTGGATCTCCCACAGCGGCTTATCGGCACTTAGCCCCGCCCCTATCGACAAGTCTGCGAGGTACTCGTTGACGGCAGATTCATCATCGGCGGCTGATGAAGATACCAAAGAGTCGATGACGATGAGGTGGCGGTCGAGGTTGACGGAGGTTTTGTGCCAATGCTCGACGCCATGGCGATCATGGACCATGAGGCTGCAGAATCTGGGGTGTTTAAGGAGAACTGATGCTTGAATCGCGGCCTTCACGGCCTCAACATTGATAGGGTTCTTGAAGCCGACGGCGCAGTAGATTTCTTGCTTCAATTCCTGACGGAGAAAGAGCCTCCCTGTCGGGGAAAGAGGCTCGTCGGTGTCGCTTGCTGGTAAGGCCATGGGAGATAGACGTGGGGATTTAAATTTAATGTGTAAGAATTTTGGTACGTGTGTAGAGGGTTTATAAGGAGTAGCGTTTGTTTGCTGTCACTTTAAAAACAAATTGTGATCATGCGATACATGCCGGGAATGGTGATTTGGATATCGTGTCGGACTAGAACTTTATACTTTTCCTTAAATAAAAACGAAGAATTTGATGGACATAAACAATTAATCCATTATGTTACTAAAATAAATAAATAAATAAATAAATCTAATAATACAGATAATACGTGCATTACCTCGTATTCTTGGAATAGAAGGAGTAATATGTTGAACAAAATTTAAGTCCCAAAACTTCATATAGAAACTAGAACTCGTAATTTATAGTAGTGATTTTGGAGGCTACACTATAGAAGAACTATGTAATATGCTTTGAAAAGGGTTGAAATAATCATACATCTTAATTTTTATTTATTGAATAATAATAATAATAATAATAATAATAATAATAAAAGTAACAGTCCGTTTGACGCTAATAAAAAACTGAAAAAGTTTTAACCGATAAGATTTTTTTTAAGCCTCATATAATGATGAGAGATTTTGTCCACATATTCAGAACTTTACAAAGGAATTTACATTCCATAGTGCCCCAATCCATTAAATCGCATCAGCCGTTTAGCCACTCAACTTCATCCAAAATCTTCACGTACAATATTTTGACCCTTGATAATGAAAGTAAGGAGGCATACTCAACTGCAATGATCTTAATTCTTTCTTTTTCTCATTAGTGGTAGAGGCCATGTAAAATTGGGGCTAGGTGGGGGAATTTGGCTCTATTTTTTTATGGGAGTCATTTTCATATACCTGCTGAGCAACAACTCATATGTATCATGTATGTGCTGTGAATGTGACATTTCATAACGTTTGTACTAATCTCCCGAGAAGTTCGTTTCTGGTCTACCTTTTTTTCTTTTGTTTTGAGGAATGATTTCCAAGGAGACTACAAGTCAAGAAATTGGTATTGGGTTAAAGAATGGGCCTGTTTTTCCACAAGATACTCTTTGTTGATGGAAAAATAAATAAATAACTGCTAGAAACTGTGCATGTGGAAAGTTTAGTGAGAGAGAGAAGGATATGATCAGATGAGAATTTCAGTGGGAGGAAACAATTACAGAAATAGCGGCAAGAATATTAAGTGTCAAACTTAGAGACAAATAAAAAGCCCATGAAACATAATGATGTAGCTTTTTACAAAATTTGGTGATTCTTTAAAACATAAAACTCTAACCATATAAGAAAAGACTTCTAAAAAGTAGTTTACTAGATGTTTCCTCAACCATTCCACTTGTATCATATACATTCATTCACCGTTAAAACACTGTAGTTCAATGAAAACGACACTTAGTTCGTGTATGTTTTATACTTTGCCACATTGCCCACTTGTAAACTCATGTACGTTCTCATTACAGAGAATTATAAAGACACATGAAATGCAAGAAAACATTAAATTTTGACAATTGATTATTCTTAAGAATAGCAAAAGATCACTTTTAAAATCGCACTAAATGTCTTTATATAATTTCATTCATATTTATTGTCCATTAATATTCCGTTACTACATAAACCTTGAGTAAGATGAAAGAGACTACTAGTTAGGCCCTCCTTCAACCATATTCATCGACTCATTAAAACTCTGTCGTTTAGTGAAAACGACACTTAAATATTCACACACGTGTCATATACTTTGCCACATCGCCCATTTCATGACCCTGGGGAATTTAACTGATGAAAAAAATAATAATAATAATAAATAATAATAACACTTAAAAAAGCTTTTTACAAAATAATAATAATATCCAAAATCACTACTATAAATTATGAGTTCTAGTTTCTAGTTTCTAATAGTTCTATAGTTTTTATCCGTCTCAAGAACTTTTTTCCAGGTTATGTTTGTAAGGATAAATAAAAAGAGAAAATTGTTGACTTTATCTTTAGAGCGTAGGGGTTTTGATTTTTACCTCTTATTCCTAGTTAATACTTTTTAACTAATATTGTTATTGAACTAAAAATATATTAATTAAGAGTAAGAAATACAAATCCAAAACAATGCTTTAAGATGTATTCATCTCCTTTACCTTAAATAAAATGAAAAATGTTTAGAGGCATCAAACGATGCTAACAATTACTAATAAAAAGTGGTCTCCACTTATAGATCCATAATGCGGGACCTACTATTTATTGGTGAGTGGTGCTAAATCACCGGTGAGTGTCCTGTAGCATTGTTCAAATAAAATGGCCCAAGAGTTTAATTGGACTAAATAGAATAGGTTCGTTTATAGTCCTCGCCTTTCAAAACATGGCCCGTGTAGTAGAGATTCTTAAAACATAGCTTGTAGCTAATGGTGGCATATTTAGCTACAAAATCAAATTTTTGTAGCTAGGTAATTTTAATGTCGACGATGTAGTTACGACCTAACTACAAATAAAAAATTTGTAGTTAATTATTTTAGTTACAAAATTTTAACATTTAGCTACAAAAGTGATTTGTAGCTAAATCCAAATTTTCTTGCACGTAGGGTTATTATTTTTATCTATGAAGTTCTTACTGTTTTTTTTTAATACTTTCTGTTTTCATCTATCTTGCCAAACAGAATATATGAAATTTAAGGTCGGATTTGGCTTTTTTTGGGCCTCACTACTCACTAGTATATTACTGGTTATGTATTGTACAAATACCCACCCATTTTGCTGATTTAGGTTGTGTTTGGTATGGGAGTTTAAATTAGGGTGGTTTTAGTTTTGAAACTAGAACCATGATTTATAGTTTGAACTTGGGGTCCAAACTATAGTTCTGGAACCGGAATCAGAACCAGAGGTTTGAACCATCTAAGATCAAGGGGAAGGTGGTTTTATTTTTTGGGGTGGTTCTGGTTTAAAACATCACATTATTGATTGCAACTGCCTCTCGCTTCCTTGATCACTCTCTCTATACTTCCAGATCTACTTTCTCTCTTTGCATTTGCCCTATGTCGAGTTTCTGCGCGATCTCGAAGACTCCGGAGCAAGAGAAGATACACTAAAGAGATGATCATCACTACTTGATTGCAACCGCCTCGTTATTCCGACCAAGGATCGCCGGGGTCACTGTCGGTCGAGATCTGCTCGCAATGGTGAAGCATACTTACGAAACTCTGTTGGGACACAAATCGGGTTCAGAGGAGAGAGAAAGACGCGACGTGCGCAAGGATTTGAGGAGAGAGACACTGGCTTGCGCGAGGATCCGTGGATAGAGAGACACCTGCAAGCACGAACCATATTCTGACATAGGCCGTCACGAACTAGATGTGTTGGGAACCAGTCCGGCGAGCCATGCTAGTTGCCGAGTCGGCAGCCAGATTTTCGGACTCGAGTAAATATGTTATTTACCGGTATTTACGGGTAAATACACTATATAACAGTCAGTAACGCCTGCGGCCAGATTTTTGAATCAATATGGTATTTAAATACGATATTTACCAATTGTCGATGCTGATAATCAGATTTTTAGATAAATATAATATTTATGAGTAAATATGATATTTACTGATAAATATGACACTTTCTGATAAATACAATACTTGTCGGTCACCATCTCCGGCGATTAGATTCACAAATAAATATAATATTTATGAGTAAATATGATATTTACTTGTAAATACAATATTTATCAATCTTCAAGGCTGATGATTGGATTTTTAGATAAGTATTTACGATTAAATACGATATTTATCGGTAAATATTAAGTAAATACAATATTTACCAGGTCGCTGACTTCAACTTCTGCAGTTAGATTTTTAGGTAAATACAATATTTATTGATAAATATGGTATTTACTGGTAAATACAGTATTTATCGGTCGTCGGCACCGGCAGTTGTTTACCGGAACCAGCCGCCGATTACCGACACTAGGCATGGTGGACCTAACTAGGAGAAGGAGAGGTATAGAAAGGAGGTCATTTCACCTATTCAAATTTAGAATTTGAGTTTTGTTATAGTTAAACTTGTTCTTTTGGAGTTTAACTTGAGTATAATTCTTGAGTTGAATTTGAGTTATAACTTGAGTTGAACTTGTAACTTGAGTTTGTGTTTGGTTGTGTACATTTGAGTTATGGTTTGAGATAAGAATCTTTTTGAGTTTGTGTTTGAGTGAGTCAAAACTTGAATTTGTGTTTAGATAGTATTTTAAAAAAAAACTCAATGCTGATGAAAATTTTTAATATGGTATATAGGTCGGGTTTTATTCGTCTTTTCATTGTCAACGCATAGAAAAAAAAATCATCTCAATCAGAATTAAAACGAAAAAGTTATAGTATTTTTAAGAATAGAAAAAATATTGTTAATTAATTTGAGTTCGAGTTTCTGAACTCGAGTTGAAGGGAAACTTGAACTCGAGTTTTAGTCATAAACTCGAGTTTGAACTCGAGTTTAAACTAGAGTTTAAACTTAAAAGAACATGAACTCGAATAAAGTTATAACTCGAGTTGCCTTTTTTTGAGTTTTTCACTCAAAAGAACAAGCCTAAAAGCTCTCAGAAATAGTCACATCTAATTTTTTTGCTACAGTAAAAAGCTCTCACATAAAGTCACATCTCAACTCGAATTAAAAATTTGAATCAGCGAACTAAATAGACCAAATGTTTGAAACCTAAAATATCAAATTATGCAATAATCTACCTATTTTAAAAAAATATATATGTTACAATTTATTAAACTTCTTATTAAATATGTTATTTCTCTCATTCTCTCAAAAAATTATTATGTTATGTATTTAGCAAGCTGATTATTAATTTAGTACATTGTCCCAAATCGAGATCGGAAG